ATAGAAAAATAAAAAGGCGCGGGCTGTCCTTTTATAAGGGCCAAACCGTGTTCAAGGCAATAACGCAATTGGGAATTTAACTAAATTTTTTTATTATACGAAAATATAACAGTGTAATGCACTCATTTTTTTATTTCATTGTGTTCGGATTTTACAAAAAATACAAAAATTTCAATTTATATAAAAAGGATATAAATTTTGTATACTATAGTAGCCAATCAAATTGGGAAGAACTAAAAATTGACAGTGTACAAGATTAAAATTCATAAAATTCGACCTACAATCCTACAAATGATGTGACATGTTGCAAAGAACATAATTACTTGATATATTTTGGGTAATCTGCATTACGAGTTGCATCAATTACGTAAATTAAAATTCTCAACTCGTCACGGAAAACGGAATCAGTGCCTGGCGCACCAACAACTCGCGATCCTTTCGACTCAGTATTGAAAATTGCGTTGCGCTGATACAGTAACAACTGGTGTATCAACGCTCGTAACGCATATAACTGCGTTAACGCAATAACGCAACGCAGCGCTGCGTTACCCATGTCTACCTTCCAGTCTCTCGTGGCGCATAGGAACAGACACGTCCGTTGCACGTCACTTGTGTGTATTTTCAAAACGCGAGACGATATTGAATTTAACATTCAGTTTTGTGAGGAAATTGAAAAGTATCCATGTTTATACGATTACAGTCGTTCAGATTATTGTAATAGGAGTGCCCAGGACCAAACATGGCAGAAAATCGCAAAAAAAATTGGTGTTCAAGATAAGTTGTAATCTACTATATTTTTACCTTTTTTACGGACTTTATTTTTTATTTTTATGACAAAATATTTGAAATAATTGTCAAAAAAACGATCCATTAGTGTACATACACTTCTAGTCATATTAGCTACGTAATTATATAGTGTTAGTATTTATTACTATTTATACTTTACTATTTATACTTGAAAATTCCATGCCAACCAATCGTTTGTAGCCAAAACTATGGTTCTCTAAACTTCACCTCGCCGTTCCAGCTACTGACCGAAATTACTTGTTACTATGCCGTCCTTTCTGTGTGAATTGGCATACGTCACGTCTCCGCCACGTCCGTGCCCCGTCCTTGCCTACGTCGGTTTAGTGTGAATTGCACCTTAAACAAAAACATATTTATAATTCATATCTGAGTGTATTTCTTCCAATTTCGGATATATATTTTTTAATAAATAAATGATAAAATTAATTTAATGTAATTGAGCGAAATTACTGTATGTAAAAAATAACATGAATTCAAATCACTTATGTACTGTTTATCACTAAATAGTAGAAAAAAAGATATATATTTTGTTGGTGTCACCGTCTAGACGAAAAAGCTTTTAACGTATTCCTATTTTTATTGTTATAAAAATAAGTGCTCCTGTAGACAAAAATTAAGTATATGGTTCTCTTCTAGCATTTTTTAACATTTCTATTTCTTTTCTTAGATTTTTTTCAAAAGAGACTGTTTCATATTTTTAAAGTGACTCCAGAGAAGTATGGGTTAAGCCTTTACCTGTACTTACATAAAATTTCTTTTAGTAAAATTAAAAAATAATCCGTAAAATTAGTCTACTATGAAACCCTTGCATATAATATCTTAGTATTTCAGAAATAAATTACGTAAAAAATAAGGTGTAAAATATGTAAAATTTATTCATCCCTCGTAAAATATATTATAAATTGTTTTCATTCACAAATATTAATTTCTTGAAAATCTAACAGAGGCGCCACTTTCCAGACGAAAAATCTTGCAATGTAAGGGTTTCGTAGTACCCCACTTTAAAAGTTTAATTTTGACTATTTTTAAAAGAAAAAAATATGTTCGTGTAAGTAAAGATTAAATCTATGCTCCTCTGGAACCACTTTTTCAAAATTAAATTTAGTTTTTTCTAAAAAAAATTGAGAAAATGGGTAAAAATAGTCGAGCTTTGTATTTTTTTTAGAAAAAACAGTTTCAAATAGAGGAGCAGAGGAGCATAGATTTATCCTTTACCTACACGCACATATTTTTTTCTTTCAGAATAAGTCAACACTAAACTTTAAAAGTGGGGTACTACGAAACCCTTGCATGCTCCGCTTTACAACCAAGTAAATACTTCTCTTAATAAGAAAACAAGAGCATTGTTTGCAAGCGTAGTTTCATTTGCACCCGTTCCTACATCTACACAACCATAACTCTAGGTTCGCTTCCAACAAACTCCTCATGTTGACGAATGGCCATTTCATCCATAATAAGTGCACAAATTATTTTTTCATTGGAATAATTTGAGTTAATCTGTAGGGCATTGAAAGCCTCACTTGTGAATCCAGGCTCACCTTTTATACTTTGATACCATCGACTGATTGTACGGACATGTGGTAAGCAAGTGTCAAATGTTCTTCTTACATAATTATGAGCAGTAGGTGAGTAATAGTGGAGAGTTAAAGAAAACACTTTTAGCTCTTCTGAATACTTCTTAGGCAATGGTAGGTTAGACTTTTTTTTAATTGCCTGCTACATATCTCGATGGGGCTCCCAAGTTTTGACATTATATCTAACTCATCATAACGGGGTACAGGGTAACGAGATTGCAGATAGTCTTGCAAGGAAAAGGGCTCAAACACCCTTTGTAGGACCTGAGCCGTTCTGCGGTATCAGCAGTAACATAATATTAGAAGAGATTAAAAAAGAATTGGGTAGTAGAAGAACCGATAATTGGAGCAATCTCTTGGGGCTGAGACAGGCCAAGATACTTCTGGGTGAATATAACCAAAAAAGATCGGAAGCCTGCATCTGCCTGAGCAAGAACAGGCTACGTATTGTAACAGGGATCCTTACCGGGCACTGCCGACTAAAAGGACACCTAAGTAAACTGAGAGTAGTAGAGGATAGTGAGTGCAGATTCTATGAGGAGGAGGATGAAACCTCCATTCACATCCTAACTGAATGTGTAGCACTCCAGAATCCAAGGGCACTATATCTAGGAGGATATCAAATAGAAGAGGGACTTACCTAACTTGAAGCCACTTCAAATCCTACACTTCCTTGAGAAAATAAGATTGGAAGGGTCGCTATAGGCATTGAGACATTTCCTTAGTGCAGTGGCGACAGAAGGGGGCACAATAGATCTTTTAGGTCGCAGTGTATTAACACCCCATTATCAACATAACATAACTCATCTTCCTGTATCAAACGTTTTTTACTTTTAAATCATTTAATATATTTTTTAAGTTGGTAATTTTATTCACTTTTCGAGAAAGTTGTCGTCTTAGCAATTTTAATTTTTGCTTTCTTTTTGCACTTGTTGCCCGAACAGAGGAGAGTGTATGTAATATTTTTTGTTTCTTTGGCGTCAGCGGTTCTTTATATGGAATATTTAGAGAAGAAGTAGAGGGTAATTCAATCTGACTGGTTTGATTTGCTGGTTTAATAAGAATATTTGATAGGATCCTGATTTTTGGAGGAGGAGGTGTAGGTATGGATGGGTTAGTCTGGAACAAGATTTGGTATATTATAAAGCCTTAAATATAGATCCATGATACAAAAACTACTAGTTTAAGTTCCAAAACTACTAATTTTTAAATACCATTAACTTCGTAATATGTTTTAAATTATATTTATTGTGTATTGTGAACAAAGTCCGTAGGTTCTTAAATTAAGAAACATCAATTTAATGTTTGTTCATTTAATATTAATATTAATTGTAATGTGGTACATGAGCGGGCATATTATTTTATATCATGAGGATGAGGAGGTACATAGCAGTGAGTGATGGCCACAAATCCAATTAAATAATAAAAATACATCACCAGTATTTATTATTATACAGTATATTCATTATCAAATAATAATAGAAAATTAGGATCTAATAAAAACTGCTTTTAAATACTTGAAATTTTATTCTAAATTATGTGTTACTTAAAAAGTTATTAATTTAAGTGTAATTATAAGTTGGTTTTTAAGTTTAATTATAATTTGGTTTTTAAGTTTAATTATAGTTGGTTTTTAAGTTTAATTATAAAGTTAGTTATTTAAGTTTTATTGTAAATAAAGTGTATACTAACTAAACATTCGTTTATTGTCGGAACAGCATTCTTCTTCAATCTGACCCTAAACTCACTCTTATCAAAAAATTCTTCCTTGAAGTGAATAGAGCACAACATGCTATTCGGTTTAGGCTCAAATTGGTATTTTCCCACAAATTTAGAGCAAATTTTGAGATATTGTGAGTCTTTTGGAAACCTATAATAAAAAAAAGTTAAGCATTCTAAAAAAAATTCTAAGTACACTACTTATACTTACTTATGAAAACTTAAATTAAATATTTTCTTACGCTCTTTCACTGAAGAGTTTTTACAATTAATTTTGGCACACTTAGTCATGATTTTTATACAAATTAATCAAAATTAATTAATTAAAATTAATTAAATTTGAACAAAGTTCTGACAGCTTTTTGACAACTATGACATAACCACTAGGAGAGGGGGAAGGGGTGTCGTTTTTTTTTGGCATGTGATCTCCATAGTATTCAACCTCATTGCATATAACCCAGATTAGTAACCAGTGTTACCGACTACCGTACAGATGGTATACTGTCATTTATCAAAATTTATTTAGATATTTTATTTTTTCTTTAATTGTGTTATCCACATTGCCTTCTGCAACAGAATATTATTTCCTTCCTCTATGTTTTTCTTTACTGTTAGAAATAATTTGCAAGCATAGTGGCTGAAGACCCTCCTGTATAATTTCTTCTTAGAAAACGAAAGGGTAAATGATAATTTAAAATGACACGTTTTATTTTGTTGCTATGTACAATTTTTGCCATATTTCACTTTAGCCACTAGTGCGTAAAGAATTTTAATTAAAAAAAGTTCAGTAACGTGTAAAGTACGTACTTTACGCATGGTAGTAGACAAAATAAATTATCCAATTGATAGCTATTTATTACCTTTTACTGTACGTTCACTTAATAAACGTAATATTTTTAGTGGAACATTATTTAATAAACGCTTTCGTATTGAAAACATCTATGGAAGCTGCACCAACCGTTTCTCAAGGGATGAGAAATTATTTCAACACAAGTTATGGGGCTGTTCTTGCTTATTTCGAATATTCTTTTTGGAAAGGTTTAATTTTCGAGGTAAAATTACAAATACCTACAATCAAATAATCAAGACTAATACTCGTTATAGTTTATTAATTTGCAGATGGCGTTTATATGGAATTTTGCAGATGTTATTATAATGATTGTAGGATCAGCACTAAAATTTAGGTTAAAACAAGTTTCAATGAGAATTAAGTCTTTAAACAAAATGACTGTAAGTAAATGTAAAGTAAACTACATAATTACAATAAGGTACCACAATTTACCTAAATGTAGATCAGTGGTGTTCTCAGTAATATTTATTTTTAAGGGTAATATAATAACTCTAACCACTGAGCCAACCCACCCCTTTCACTCACTGTATTATTTTCATTTTAGAGACATTCGGATCCACATTTATCAGAACCTTACTAATTTAAAATACTTACATTTTAGACATCAAATATACAAATATGGAGATCTTTAAGAAAAGATTACCTTCGAATTGTAGCTCTTTGTCAATCAACCAACAAAAAACTGTCTTTTTTAATACTAATCAGTTTCTTGGTGAACCTCTATTTTATACTAAAACAAATATTTAGGAGCTTGACAAAGTTGAAAACTGCAATAGAACAAGCATATTTTTATATATCGTTCATTTTACTGCTTTTAAGAATATCCTTGGTTATCATTTTTGGCAGTGGTGTACACGAAGAATGGAAGGATATTTGCTTTTTTCTACAATCTGTCCAGAGCTCATCTTATAACGAAGAAGTAAGTGGTTTTATAAATTCCTTAACATTTGAGCAAGCATTTAGACAAGCGAACCGATACCTTTTTCAAAGGGGGTAATTTAAAATAAAAACAAAACAATGAAAACTGAAAACAGAATAAAAAATGCAATAACATAAATAGGCTAAAAAATTAAGCGTTTAGGACATGGGTTTCCCATGAAACATAAGAAGAAGCTACAAATTGGGAATAAGGGGCGTTGAAATTGAAATTATATAATCGATTATAGAATATTTAAAATAATTAATTAATCGAAACAAAATCGATTATTCGAAAAAAATCGATTAATCGAAAGTAATTGAAAGTAATCGATTAATCGAAAATAATTGATAAATTAAAAATAATTGATTAATCGAAAATCATCGAGTGGTCGATTAATCGAAAATAATCGACTTGCCTAAAATAATCGACTAATCGAAAATAATCGATTATTCGATAGACAATATAATAATTTCTATTCAAATTTTTTAGGTAGAGCGATTTATTAAAAACGTAGCAACATATGAATTGGTGCTATCTGGAAAAAATTTCTTCAGTATTAGACGGAGTTTAATTCTACAGGTAAGTATATAACTACCGGTACAGACCCGTTATTTGAAATTAGATAGTCCAAAATTCATCGAATTAAAAAAGAAACAATCCAATTTCTTTTCCAAGCTGTACATCTTTCGCTGCCATATACTGTCGTCATACGTCACACACACATACGTTCCCTTAAGCCTTGTACGTAATAATTTGACATAAACATACATACCTTTTTATCTATCTATCGACGTATCTATCTGGTTTAGTGCCCCTCCTTCCAGTGTCTAACATATCAGCTTAATATTCTTGACTTGAAGTTTTCAAGTATACCCGTATGTTGTAATAAGAAGTCGATAATTAGATAAACATTTAATTAGCTTTGTAAATCAATTATATGTAATTTTGACTAGCTCTTATATATTCTATACCAAACCATTTACTTACCTTAATTCAATAAACAAAAAACAGATGAGCATGTGAGTGTTCTCAAATGTGGATTCAGGCTTTTCTAATACCAACTAAAATTTACATGGACATCAAAATTCACATAAAAAAGTAAGCGATCTAATATTCGTTTAAAAACACTAACAATTATCAGATAGATATTATGAACTGATTTGCACCATCGTATGAAAATTGTATGATTTGGTGTCGACGATTTAACTATCAAAAATTGTAACGTGGATATTGAATTAAATAAAGCACTGTATTAAGTTGATTATATTTGGATAATTAGTAATTGTAACAAAAAAAAATAAAGTAAATTGAACAAGAGTCAAATCGATCTGTATTGATCGCGGCAAACTTCACTCTCTCTGTCATTCGTTAGGCGTCGCACTCACGGGAGCTGCTACGAGAGTACAGAGGCGGCGTTAGGGGTCGTGTTACAAAGTCTCCCCCTTTGCACGTACCATGGGGAGTTTGAGGCAAGATATTAATAAAGGGTGGATCGTCGGTGCAACAAGCACAAGGGGCCCTTGGGGTACGTCTTCTGACAGAGCGCTCTGTCTCAATCGTAAGGTCAGGCGTCTCTTCTGGGGTCACACAACTTTCTTCAGTGTGTTCGTCGTCGAGGGGTAATATCTCCGGCTCAGATTCGGGGACAAGAGACTGTCCATGGTTGAGAGGTGGTCTACCTCTTTTCCGCAAGGGTCTGGAAGGAATACAGTCGTGACCTGGTTCACGATATCTCGTCAAGGCCGATATATGGTATTTACCTAAGGTAACTTCCGGATTAGTAACAGCGGCTACTTCGTAGGTTGTCGGAGTGATTACTTTGGTAATCAGATACGGTCCGTCCCTCTTGGGTGCGAATTTTGAAGTAAACGCATCCTTAGTACTACTGAGTGCATGTGCTCCAAAGGACATTCTTCTTGGTGAGGTCAGTTAAGGGTTTGGAAACAGCAGCAAAATTATCAATGAATCTCCGGAACCAAGAACATGTTTGCAGAAAAGTCAGTAACTGTTTGACATTGTTGGGTTCAGGCATGTCCCAAATAGCACGAACTTTGGTTGGATCGGGCTCTAGGCCATGGGGAGTGATAAGGTGTTCCAAATACTTAACAGAGGAGCAGGCAAAAGTGCATTTCTGACGATTTAAATGGAGCTTAAATAAATCAAGGCGTTGAAAAACGGCATCAAGATCATTTATATGGTCGGAAAAGGAATGAGATAATATGATAAGGTCATCGAGATATGCCAGGATAAATACATTGGGCAGGCCAGCACGGAAACGGTAAATTAGCCTCTGAAACGTAGATGGCGTGTTCCTTAGGCCGAAGGGCATGCGATTGAATCTAAACATTCCAAATGGCGTGACGAATGCATTTTTGTCACGATCGGATGGTTTCACAAGTATCTGGTGATAGCCAGACTTCAAATCTAAAGTCGTCATATAATTAGTTTTCCTGGTAGCGTGTAATAGATCGTCGATCCTTGGTAGGGGATATCTGTCTGAACGAGTCTTGGCGTTCAGGCCTCGGTAATCAACAGTTAAGCGTATTTCACCGTCTTTTTTGGGCACGAGCACAACAGGGGCAGCATACGGTGACTCACATTCTTCTATTGTTCCACTTTCCAGAAGTTGATCTAACTCGACTTTTAGTTTTGCTCTTTTAGGTTCAGATAACCTGTAAGGGTGAACGGCAACTGGGGTATCATCTAGCAGTTGAATTGTATGTTCTGCAAAAGGAGTAGGTTCACATCTACTTTGGAACACTCGCTCATGTTTAAGTAACATATCGTTCAAATTTTCCCTTTCTACAGAGTTTAGGTTCAATCCCTCCTTATCTCGTAGGGAAATATCAATAAATTGCACTGATTCCGTACCAGGTATTGTTCATTAGGCGCGTCTTTGAAGAACCATACAGACTTCGGTATATCCAAAATAATTTGGGCTTCTGCGATGAAATCGACTCCAAGGAGAGTGCGATTACCAGAGTAACTTGGTACCGAATAAATTGAATGGGTATATGTCTACCTTGAATCGTGATTTTAGTGTCAAATGCGTAGGTTTCAACCTGGCGTTCTTTTCCATCTGCTAACGTCAATGTCATATATTGAGAGGTGTATGGAATATTTTCTTCTAAAAGTAGTTTTGTCAGCGTCGACCCAGCGATACTAGATTTTGCTCCAGTGTCCAATTATTTCGATAGCCACTAGGGGACGTGTCATTGGTGAGGGTTGAGACGTGTTGGTGCATAAAAATTCGGTAGCGTTGACTGAGGACGATGGAAAATTCTTGGGTTTGCAAGTAGGACAGTTACCTCGTATATACTGTTGGGTTATCTATTATCTCCCCTACTTATAGGCAACCAGTAATACCGAAATACACTAAGCGGAAAAGGGGGTTTGTGAGGTAAGGTTAGAGACAAAAAAGCATGTTAAGGTATCCTGATTTTTGTGTTAAATAAACGACTAGTTCCAGTCCTAGTTAATGTTTTATTCGTTCAATAACAGTACATGGTGGCAGCCGGTGATTCTGTGAATAATAAATCATGGTTACTACCCAGTCTGAGACGACACCCACAACCACTGTTAGTGTAGCGGGTGTTGCCCCGTCCACATTGTTTCAAGTAAGCCCTCCAGAAAGTTTTAATTTTTCAAATCCAGCTTCGTGGCCCCAGTGGAGGAAGCGATTTGAGAGGTACGTCAAAGTTTCTGGTCTTTCGGTGAAATCAGATGCTGATAAAATAGATGCATTACTTTATATCATGGGAGAATGTAGCGAAGAAAGTCTTTTACAACTTCCAACTGTTCCCACACTCTTTGATGAGATGCTCGCTTCGTTGGAAAGTCATTTTATTCCCCGCAGAAACATTATATTTGAAAGATTCCAGTTTAATTCAAGGGTCCAGTTGCCTGGTGAGAATGTTGAGACATTCATTTCAGTTTTGCACTCGTTAGCAGAGAACTGTAATTTTAATACACTTAAGGAAGAGTTTATTAGAGATCGAATGGTGGTAGGGATGTTGGACAGAAAAACCAGTGAGAAAATGCAAATGCAAGCAAACTTAACATTAGCAGATGCTATATTGTATGCCCGTCAACCAGAAATTCAATGCCAACAGAGCAATATTCTACATCAGAAAGCAGTGAATGCAGTGTCCAGGGCACCGAAAAATAGATTTATGGGTAATAAGGACGTCTGTGAGTTTTGTGGCATCCAAAGACACAATAGAAAGGTATGTCCAGCAAGAAAATCTACTTGCTGCGGCTGTGGTAAACTTGGTCATTGGGACCGCGTCAAAAAATTCCATTGAAACAAAAGTACTTAGGTCTATCACTTCCACTTCCACTGAGGATGATCAGCATCAGGAGGAACTGTTTATTGGTAATTTAACCATACATAAATATACCCTAGGTAATATTTTTACTAATAATAATAGTCAGTGGCTTGTAAATCTTAAAATAAACGATAACCCTAGGTTAGTTACATTTTTAGTCGATTCTGGAGCAGACATTGTGTTCATCCCTTCCAAATTGTTAGATGAAGGTTTGTCAGACAGTTTAAAACAATGTAATGACATAATATCTGGCCCAGATGGTACCAAATTACAAGTTTTAGGTACAGTTTCTGTAAAACTAAGTTATCCTGCTAATGATCAATGTTGTAAAATTGTCATGTATGTTATTATTAAGGACCTAAAAGTACCCATTTTAGGCCTCCCAGGAATATCATGTCTTAAAGTTCTAAATTTCTCAGTAAACTCACTAAATCTAACATTTAATACTACTGTCAATGTAGAAAAAGAATTTAAAGGTATTTTTAATGAAATTGGAAATTTCAAAGATGAAATTGAGATTAAAATTAGAGAAAATGCTAAGCCATTTGTTCAGGCAACTCCCAGAGTTGTACCCACACCTTTACTCGATAAATTAGAAAAAGAATTACGACAGGCTTTAAAAGCTTTCTATTATTGTACCTGTTGAGCAAAATACGGAGTGGGTTGCACCTATCGTGGTGGTTCCCAAGGGAGATACAGTGCGTTTATGCGGAGATTACACTGAATTAAATAAAAATGTTTTAATGGCTTATTACCCTATTCCTAAGGTAGAAACCTCTCTTGCCAAGCTAAAAGGGTCTTGTTTTTTCTCAAAACTGGATGCAATGTCATCTTTTTATCAACTTAAAGTTTCAAAAAAATTCACAAGCTTTAACTACCTATATTACACCATTCGGTAGATTCATGTATACTAGATTACCCTTCGGAATTTCGTGCTCTCCAGAATTCTTTAGTCAAAAATTCTCAAAGTTATTTTTAGGGTTAAAAGGAATCATATTGCATGTAGATGACATTCTGATACATGCATCTACGATAGAGGAACACGACAGTATACTCCGAGAAGTCTTACACAGGTTGTTATCCGAAGGTATCACCTTAAACAAATCAAGGTGTCTTATTGGAGTTACTCAAATTACTTTTCTGGGGCATTCAGTTTCAAAAAATGGTGTTTTAATTGAACCTTCACGAATCGAGGTTATAGTTAAATTCCCAGAACCCAGCAATAAAAAAGAAGTGCAGCAAGTACTAGGTATGATCAACTAT